GCCTTCGGCAGGGATGACATTCAGGGAATATGATCTGAGAGGTTCAGATGATTCCCTCTGTCCTCATTTTTCAACCCCCCCACTCATGCCCATCCTCACCCTCAGAAACACATTGGTCACAGGGCTGTTTAGCCAGGTCCTGAAGGATTAGGGCTTCAGAAGTTACCTATTAAAATGCAAATGTCCTTGGCTGAGCTAAGACCTCTTGTCCTTATCTGCTAACAGCCTAAAGGGATTCCTTTCAGAGAAGGCTGTTTCCATTTTTTAACGGTGTAATTCTGTGAGGAAGCATAAAATAAACTGGCCTACACTACATTTGGCTGGAGGGCTGACTACAAGATGGGTTTTTCTTTCTCAAAGCATGCCTGGGAACCACCCCGGGCCCCCAGAGAGCAGCTCCCCCGAGCCCCCCAGCCCGCTCTGAGAGTGAGTGGCTGTCTGCTCCCCCGGCCCTCCTGGCCCGTGTGTGCAGGCTGCATCATCCGACCAGCTGTGCCCCCAGGGTCCACCAGTGGTCTTTCCAACTTTTTCCCAAGGACGCGCAGGAGGATCTGTCCCTGCTTCTCTCAAGTCCAAAGGCTCCTTACAAAATAATGACACAGTAAGTCACATACACGGCTTTCCTGTCTGCCAGCCTCTCTAAACCTTTCACTACATCAACTTATCTAATAACAACAACAGGTACTATCGCCAGATCCATTTTGCTGAGATGGGGCTGAGGCACAGAGACACCGAGGAACTTACCAGGAGCCACACACATCATGAGTGATCTGAGCTGAGAATGACAGTCCCCAGCCTGTTCAGAGCATGGACTTGTAATCAGTGTTACACTTAATCTCTGTGAAATATGCATGGACAATAACTTAGTTTTATCCTTTAGGTTTTAAAATTTAATGCAATAGTCTAACATTTTATAAAACTTTGTGTTTTTTTTTTTTACCATCACTGTTCCCTCTGAGACTCTTCCTTATAATTCTGTTCTCCCCATTCTGAAGGAAAAGTCAGCTCACCTCAACTGATCTGTGTCTGTTGGAAGGCAGGAAGGCAAGTGTGAGGTCCTCTGGGTCTCCGGGCTGGAACACAGCATTTACAAGCAAAGCTCCTCGTCAGTTTGCTTGAGCACACCTCGTGGCCCAGACTGCTCCCTAACTGCAAGGTGCCACAAAGACACCTCATCTGGAAAGTGAGTGGCGGGTTACGCATCTCAAAGACAGGCAGCATGATACCCCAGATGGCCATGGTTGCCCATCACGCTCAGTCAGTGGTCCAGCCCTGAGGGATGTGGGGAGACCTATTCAAGGACTTTCTCTGTAATTTACAGTTTTAGGGGACATCCAAGAATTGTAAGACTAGTTAGGAAATCTTTTCCCCAGTCTACTGCACTTTTATGACACTGTGCCTGACCCAGGCCCTTTGGCCACTGGCAAACTTTGATTGGATATCCGGTAGGACTCACCTATAAACAGGTATTAGCTCTTGTTATACCACTATATAAAATCCAAATACTATGGTCACCTTTAAGTTTGAGCAATAGTATGTTTTATTAAAAATCAGGTACTAGAAATATATTTTGTGTCTGGTCTCCATTCAAATCATTTCTGTGAAAAACCCCACTGATTGTCCCTTCCGTGTTAGAAAGAAGTAAGTCTCTAAAGATGGAAAGAAAAGACCATCTTTGGGATTCTAACCTGAAGTCTCATTTTTCTTTTCTCGGGGGGAAGAATCTCTGTCCATACCCAAAGTTGTTGCTTCCATAACCCCTGTCCCCATCTCCTTGACAGTGGGATCTACTTTGGGAGCCCTGGGAGTTTCCATTTATTTCTTTTGGATCCACCCAAAGCAGGCAACTGCTCATGTCAAGACAAGAATAAAACAAGTAGTAAAACCACTGCCTTGATTGTGAAAATCCAGGAGGCAGCCAGCACCCGCTGTTAAGCAGACAGATTCCCGTCCCGGTGGCAGAAAGAGCTGATGACCTCCTGGACCTTAAGAATCTGGATTAAAAGGCAAGAATCTCTCTCTCTTCTCTTTAGCCACATCTATGAGCTATACATAATGAATATGCAACCGTGCCAACAGCACTGTGTGGCTATGGGTTGAGATGCCGTCTTGTGAACCCAAGAAAAGAAACTGTGGATAGAAGAGGAGGTGAACCTAGACCGGTGATTTTCCATCTGTGGGCTACAGATCCCTAGGAATGCATGCAGTCTTTCTGTGGGGTCTCGGAATCCAGGTGCACTGTGTAGATGGCCTGGATGGGCATTACATGGAAGTGGTTGTGAGCACAGGCTCGTTAGCAAGACCACATAGTTTCAAATTTTAATACCTCCACTTAGCAGGTGCGTGCCTGGACAAGTCACCCAACTTCCTTGTGTTTTAACTTCCTCGTTCTTTAACCACATGAAGTTGGTGGGACCAAAACAAATTAGTTATGTTTCATACTCAGCCCTGTACCTAGTGCTCAGGGGTGATCATCAGATGCATCCACACCACAAGCAGACAGCTACTTGGCTCTCTCGTCTTTTCACATCCAGTTTCATAGGGACCTTGCCTTGTGCTGGAGAACACAGAGAGAAAGAAGCCAGTAAATTGGCCCTTCTGTCTGTTTTCAATTTCGGAGAAGGGTACCCAGGCCCCGAGACCCTATGGGCTGACCCCTCCTCTGCCAGCATGTCCCAAATCATGAAAGCTCCCATCCAAAGCCTTTCCTTCTGTACCCAGCTGCAGAGACAAACCACAGCTCCCAGGCTGTGTAGTTTGAGGACAGCCATTTGGGTTTCCCTTCTCCACTGCTACAGAAATACAAATTAAGGTTTCCAAGAACCAACAATAGGTCAGAATTTGGGATAGAGATGCTCTATTTAGGAATACCCCAACTGTAAAGCTTGTGGGAAGAGGTGAGATTAAGATCCAGTCTCCTGGCCTCAGGGAGACACTTGTTGATATGGACAGGCAGGATACACCAAATGAACAGCACGCTCCACCCAGAGAGTGCATGTAAAATTCAGAGGACTTGGTTTTTGTTTAAGATAAAGGATGTATGGGACTCAACCGGCACATCAACCCGTTAGTCCAGGGTGCCGATTCATTCCTCTCGGTACCTGTGGTTGTGTCCCGTGGGGATGATTTCTTCTTCCTGATGTTGGCACTGCTGGTTTTGTAGTCATTTTTGGTTTTGTTTTTGGGATGGATGCACAGGGTGGTTTGTTTTGTTTTTTGAGCTTTAATTAACTGCTTTTGTTGAATCCACAAAATCTTGGCCCTCACCACTGCCAAAACACTACCTCCATTTCAAGGGCGACACCGAAGCAACAGCTTTAGGATGGTGCAGCAAATGAAAGTGGTCTCTCTCACCTCAAAGCCTGTACTCTCACCCCCTAGGAGACAGGACCTCTCAATGGGCCCCACTCTACCTCCCATTCAAGTAGGAGGTGTTTGGACAACAGTGGAGTCTTAGGAGGAAGCTTTCAAAGAGACCATGTGAGTCCTGGGAAGGTGTTTGTCTCTGAAGGACAGTGTCATTGTAGAATCACTGTCCTGGGAGAAAGGAATATCCCATAAGTGCCCTGGACAAAGTCTCAACGAAGTGGTGAAGTACAGCTGTCTCTTTCATGATCTTGCTATTCAACCATTGCCTTCCAACAGCACCCTGAAAACCGCATCTACCCCACTTCTTTCTCCTGCTCCCCACCCCCATCGAACGACTTCTATGTTAATTCTTCCATATCAGGCTCTCTTATCATGATAACGGAGATGAGTGAGATTGCTTACGTAAACTATACTGGTTATCACAGGAAAGTAGATGACTGACTGCCTTAACCCAGTTGAAATGCATGAATCTCCTAAGAGTCTTTAATAAGCACTGGTAATAAAGGAGGGAAAGATATATTCATTGAGCCTCTTCTACATACCAGACGCTGTGCAATGCACTTTACGTGTTTATTAACTTCTTACACCTCATGCTAAAGTCGTGATCTCGATGCCATTATTGTCCCTATGTTACAGGTAAACCGAATGATATAAATGCTGGGAGTATTTGAATTCAGATCTTTAAATACAAACAACTTGCTTTTTTCAAAATAACTTGCTGCTCTCTTTAAAGACCTGTCCCTAAACCATTGAGTGGCCTATAACCAGTCACCAGTCTTTCTTATCTGGAACTCTCTATTTATGAATCTTTGTAGCCCCAAGTTCTCTAATGCCACAGAGGCTGGAAGTTTTGGTTAGGTCTTCCTGCGGAGGAACTTTATGTTCGATTTAGCAGACCTACTCCCGCAGTCTGTGAGGAAAAGCATGGTGAGAGAGAATGGGGCCTTGCTTACCTCATACTGCCCTGCCTACTTCAGAGTTTTGGCAAGGACCAAATAGAATAAATACTGCCTGTGATAAAAGCCTCGTGGATGGTAATGACTACAGATATTTGTGGAGATATCATCTCGGTACCAAATCCGGGGGGCAGGTGACCAGCTCCGGCCTAGAGCTAAAATACGGAATAACTAGTCAAAGGGGTTCTGGGGGGAACAGAACAGGTGTGGGTTTAAAGGAGGAAGGGCGGCCATGCCGGAAGATTAGAAACATAAAAACAGATAAAAGCTGGGAAAGGAAATAAATTATAGAATAGACCCAGATCCCTGTAAGTTATGGTCTAACACCTGTCGTCCTGTGTTGGGAGCTCCATCAAGACCCAGTGGAAGAGAAGGAGTCTGAAAATATCCCCAGTTTGGCTGCTCAGATAATGGATCCTCAGGGAATAAGATGAAAACATGTGGATCAGTGGGCTCGTGGACCAGCAGGAAATTAGGTAACAAGAGGAATGGCAGCTCTGGAGAACCACAACCGAATTTCAGCACTTGCTGGCCTGGCACAGGAGGGCACTAGCAGGTAAATGTGAAATTGCCCAATTAGGCACCACTCTATTATCACCAGAGAAGGCAAACCGAGGTGCAGCTGATGAGTTAACCAGATAATTATACAGAAAACATTTCCTTCTCCTTTTTGGCTTCAAGTTCATTTTAAGGCTTCAAGTCTCCAGTCCAGTTGACACTTGGGAGCCACGGAGGAGATGCCTATTCCCAAGGGAGGCCCTGCTCTGCTGTGGATGACATTGCTGCTCTTCTGTAAGTAGACGTTCAGTGACACCCCACAGGTCCCACCCCAGAGGGACCAAGATGGATCTGGGGAGCAGCTGGGGTAGGAATATTGACAGTTTTCATGGTGACTTTTTCTAAGCCACATGCAAACCATGGGGCATCTCCCAGGGATTCTGGACACAAGCTGGAGAGCAGAGCAGAGCAAATCACGCTGAGCAAGACTTAAGGGGGAGCAAGCCTGAAAACCTGTCCTTGCAATCACTCTGGCATCTCCCAGAGGGCAAGGGAAGGAGGACAGAGGAAAGAGAGAAGTTCCTTCTCTCCAAGGGTCAGGTTCCTTAGAAGTTGCTTGGCCTTTAAAACTCCATGGATGTAGACCTCATCACTGTACCCATATCTCTGTCCTTAGGAGTCCTAGAAGCCTGGGCGTAGCCACTAACTTTTCTCTTCTGAACTTTTGCAGCTCTAGATGGCATGTCAGCAGGTGAGTGAGTCCTCTGTCCTTGCTCTGTCAGCCTCAACATGGCTGGGTACAGCTCCCCCCCTCACTGTTTCCCTTCACCCCATCTCCTCTGCTTTCTAATGGTTAGGCATCGCCGCTCCCTGTCCAACCTGAGCCCCACTTCCACCCTGCCTGTCTTCCTTCTTTCCCCCATTCAACAGCTTTAAAAGAACCAACTCATTCTCTTGAGACACCCCACCTCTTTTTTTGCAACAACCATGTCTGTGGAACATCTAAACATCCAAGTGTCCCCCAGGCACCACCACACAACCTCTTTCGGTTCCTATGTCATCACCACCTTAGCACTGTCACCATTTTGTAGTTGAGGCCTTTGTCTAATTAAGTGCCTTGCTGGAGGTCTCACAGCTAGCCAAGGGCCAGCTTCTAACACAAGCCCCTTGGGTCCAAGTCTAGCTCTGTTTCTGCACCCTTCCTCATCACCACCTGCCACTTCCTAGGCTTTGGTCAAATTTGTACCACATTTCTTTTGTTCCTGAAAACCTATTAAGGCTGATTCTCTCGGCGCTTTTCACTTCCTTCCAGAACTGACATGAATTTTTCACTCCATATGCACTCACAGTTAAATAGTCATAAAAATTTAGAGCTGGGAAAGACTGTTTCATCTAGTCCAACACATTTATTCATCCATTAGTCACACATTCATCCACTCAGTAAATATTTAATGAACACGTTATTATGTACCAACCATCGTGCTGAGCTAGGGCTGAACAGGACGGACATTGCCTCTGCCTTACCAGAGGCTACAGTCCTCACTGGCTTGTTTATTTTTTAATACCCCACACTCGTGTCCTGTCTTTCCCCCTAGGTTGGGAGCTCCCTACAGCCACAGTACTGTTTCTTCCTTCTGTAATCCTAGGAATCAGGACAGTTTCTTATTAGCGGCAGTCCAAGGGTAGACTGACCATTGACTGACTATTGCCATGTCTGTACTTTAGAGCCTGGACAGTTTTCTCTGCCCCCTCCCCCCATCTATGTCTCTTTCTACAATTTGATCTCCTCAAAGATACCTCGAAACCTACAGTGTCCTTGAACCCACCATGGAATAGAATATTGAAAGAGGATAATGTGACTCTTATATGTTATGAGAACAACTCCCTTGAAGTCGACTCCGCTGTGTGGACCCACAACAACATCAGCTTGGAAGAGACATCTTCACGTTTGAACATTGTGAAAGCCCAAATCCAGGACAGTGGGGAATACAGGTGTCAGAACGGAGCCACCCCGAGTGAACCGAGTGAACCTGTGTACCTAAGAGTCTTTGCAGGTAAGTTCCAGGACTATAGAAAAATAGATCCCCCTATGTGAGGAATGGCCCATCCAAAGATAGGGAGAGATCAAGTTATTCCAGGGTTAGCACACCGGGGTGGGACTCTGGTCTCTCAGTCAAGACCTGCCCGTTGCTCTCCTTCTACCCTTACTCCTGCCCAGCCTTGCCTTCTTTCTATGTTCTGGCCATCTCCCACCTCCCCCTCTACTCCACCTTATCTCTCTTCTGCTTGGGGCAGATGTGTATGATATGTACAAATGGTAGGTTGGATATGTGAATGTTGCAAAGAGCTGAACTTCTGAAATAGGATCAAAAGGTCTGATTGTAAAATTTGCTCAACAAATGTCCTCCATGCTATTCCTTATGTTCCACAAATAAGTGAAACCATATGATAACTGACCTTCTCTGCTTGACTTATTTCACTTAGCATAATCTCCTCCATGGAGGACATTAGAAGAAGGAAGGGAAAAATGAAGGGGGGGAAATCGGAGGGAGCGATGAACCATGAGAGACTATGGACTCTGAGAAATAAACTGAGGGTTCTAGAGGGGAGGGGGGTGGGGAGGGTGGGTTAGCCTGGCGATGGGTATTAAGGAGGGCATGTACCACGTGGAGCCCTGGGTGTTATATGAAAACAATGAATCATGGATCACTACATCAAAAACTAATGATGTATTGTATGGTGACTAACATAACATAAAAAAAAAAAAGGCCTAGTTAACCTAAAGAAGTTTCAGCAAAGAGATTAGAAACCCTGTAGCAAGTAAATCCATGTGACCTGCTGGATCAGTGTTAGGTAGCTTGTTGAGGGTCAAATACTACAGTTAGCTCTGGGTTGCTTTGGCTTGAAGAACTTAAGATCTTTAAGATCTTAAAGTCTTTAAGATCTCCCCAGCATTGTGGATTATAAAAGATCTTTAAGATCTTTACCTTTAAGATACCTTTAAGATCTCCCCAGCATTGTGGATTATAAAAATATCATTCAAAAGGCACATCTTGGCTCCTTAGTATGTTTTATGATACATGGAAGTGATATATTAACTGAAATTGCAAAACTGCCTATTTCCTACAATCCAGTTAAAAACTGTATTCATGTTACTAAAGTCACAATACCAAGTGTAATAACTTTCTTTAATGAATCACAAATAAAAGCGATGGGAAAATTAAAAAAAAAAAATTTGCTCAACAATTTCTATGCACCACGATCTGGATATTAGGTTGCACTCTTGGTTTTGAAAGACATCCATGTAGATCCCTCACAACCTTCACTTTTACCAAAGAACAAATCTTACGTTTGCTTCAACTTTGTGACTCTCTTCCACTGCCAACAATTAGCACAGCTTGCTTAGGCCCATGTGGTTAGTTAGAAAATGCCGGATGAACAAAGGAAGGATTTCATTTAAATGGTTAGGCCACGGATATATTTTACTTTATATTTTTTAATGTAAATATATTTAAGGTATAAGCTTATACCTTAATTGTATTTTCCTCTTGAGTGAAAAGAGGTGTGGCAGCATCCATACTCAAATTCCAGATACAAAGTAAAGTAGCGTTATTTCCTTGGAAGAGATTCTAGAAAACTCCTCCAGGATTGCTCTAAAATGTGCCTGCACAACCTAGCCAGAATTTTGTCCAAAATTTTCCTTCAGTGAGTGTTTCAATTCTTACAATGACATTAGACAGAGAACTCGACTCTTACATTTTACAGAATCATTGTTAACACGTATTTGTTGAGTACCTACCCCCGAGGTAATGGTGTTGGGCACTGGGGATATAATGTACAGATCAGACATGGCCCCTGGCCTCCTGAAGTATGGAGGCAAACGAGGAAGAGGACATTGAGTAACTACGCACACATAATTAAAATTGGCATTCATGTTCTGGGGAAGTTTTGGAACCAACTATGATTAATGGTAGAAGCAGGGAGCCCCTAAGAGGCCAGAAGACAAAACAGACCTGCCCCTAGGTGAGGACTCCCCGGACAGGATAGTTTTATTCCGCTTTAGTGACCAGAACTGTGCCGACGGAGCTGAAGGGAGTACTGGCTTTCAAGCCATCCATGGACGGACTCAGCAGAAATGTCAGAGTGGTTTTCTGGCCCCCGACTCACTTTTCAGGAGGAGAGAGGATTTATCAATATAGAGGACAGACTCTAAGCATTATTTTGTGTTTCCTTTTTACTGACATTGTGAGCCAAGAAATGGCTTCTTGATAAACCATGGTTTTTGACACATGCTCTGTGCATGACCACTTTTATTTTTGTCTCTCTCTGTGTCTATCTATCCATTTGCTGTTACATAACCTAACGAATGCTCTTCAGAGTGGCTGCTCCTTCAAGCCTCTGCCGAGGTGCTGATGGAGGGTGCGTCCTTCCACATCAGGTGCCATAGTTGGAGGAATATGAAGGTCACAAAGGTGACCTACTACAGGAATGGCACAGCCCTCCAGTACAACTATGATAACTTCAACATGCCCATTGCCAATGCCACAATAAGGGACAGTGGCAGCTATTTCTGCACAGGGTGGATTCAGAGGCTAAATCGCACCTCTGACCCCCTCAACATTATTGTGAAAAAAGGTGAGTTGGTAAAGCAAGAGGGGTGCCCATGGCAGGGGAAGGGAGAGAGCGACCCCCCAGCCTGAAGTGGCTGCAGCATGCAGCAGGGGACAGCAGTGGACAGCAGTGGTGCCTTGTGAGTCTGCTGGCCTGTGGGTGATACCTGTTCACACTGTGGGGTTTCTATGAAGACTACATGCGATATTGGGAAATGGATGTGTAGCCTGTTACGTGCTACCCAAGCATGATGGATCACAATTCTTGGTTTGATCTCAAAGTCCTCTGTTGCTCCTGGGGAGAACACTTATATTTATCAAATTGAAAGGGAGTTTCAAAGTTAAAGGAACAAAGGCTGTTAGGAGCTTGAAGATGCCATGCTGGTGGAGGAGAGCTGGGGAAGGAGATCCATGGGCCACGGGCTGGGTGCCCAAGTCAGGAGGAGACAGAGGCTAATGAAGAGAGCTGGGCTGGTAGGCTGCCTCCAGGGCCAAAGATAAAGATACTCCTTCCTAACTCCAGAGAAGAGAGGGAGCCTTTGGAATATCTGCCTTGCAAGAAGGAAATTAGATTTTTTTGCTTGGCAGATTTGGCTCATACTAATGTCTAAAAAAGCACGAGACCAGAAGCCAGAATAAAGCTTTAATGCCAATTTTCTGTTAACTAGTCTGAGACCTAAGTGCTATTTAATTGTCGTTGGCCTTCTAGTATCCTTATTTGTAAAGTAAAGGGTTTGGTCTAGATGCCACTTGGGGAAGTTTAAAAATACTGACGTTTGCATCTCATCTCCTGAGGTTCTGATTTAACTGATTTGGAGGACTGGGCATCAGTATTTTTAAAAGCCCTTTCAGGTAACAGTCATGTGCAGCCGGTGCTGAAAGCTGCCAGTCTAGATAATCTCTGGGAAAGGGGGTTTCTGACTATAATAGTCTGGGGCTCTATAATTCTAGGGTCATCACAAAAATCAGCACCTTGCAAACAGAATAACAGAATCACAAGAGAGGCGAATTGGAAGGCAGCTTGAAGAAGCTCTAGCCCAGTATCTTTGTTTCACCCAATAGGCAGGTGGTAAATGATGAATGATTCAGAAATGAGGCAGGGGTAACCCCCACCCCTGCCCTGTCTCCTGTCCACCCCCAAATCATATGTGGGCACTGGTCCTGTGAGCTCCAAGAAAGGGGCCATCTTTCCTCCAACCTTTCCCCTTGGGCACACTGGCTAGAGGAGCTGTAGGCAGGGGTTATGGGGGAGATCTCAGGAGTCCTGGGGCTCCAGGAAGCATAGACAGAGGAACCTAAATCCATGGGTGTTGCTCCCTGGTCCTGGATGCCATGTCATGCTAGAAGACAGAGGACTGTGCTAGGTCCTTCTCTTAGGGAGGATGAAGTCCTGAGCCTCATTCATCAATTCCTCATATGACTTATGTTTCTTGTTGCATCTAGATTCGTCCAACTGGAATGGTCACCGAAGCAAATACTCCTGGCTACAATTTCTGATCCCATTGTTGGTGGTGATTCTGTTTGCTGTGGACACAGGACTGTTTATCTTGACCCAGCAGCAGTTGACACTGCTCTTGGAGACTAAGAGGACCAGGAAGAGCAAAAAGCCAGACCCCAAAAAGAATTGATGTCACTGCTTAAGAAACATTAGCAATAGCAAACTTCTTTCCGGCATCTGCAATCCCTTCTCCATCATCAAACACAGCTCCCAATGCACACAGGGAGGTCTGCACTCAAGGCTTTAGAGAACTGCTTCATTAAACAACTCAAACTGATTAAGTAGCATGTAATAGTAAGTTCTCAATGAACGTCAGTTAAATAAATAAAAGAATGACTAGATTCATCTGTCAAAGAGGAGTACAATTTGAATAAAAGAGGTATGAAACCAGGTAACATGATGCTTCTGAGTATTTGAGGCTTGCTACTTTCTTTTTTGTTTCTAGAGGCAGGTACCATGAAGTTCTAGACTAGAGATGTCTTCTCTTAACCACTCTAAGTCTGGACTAGGACTACAAAGACATGGGGGGGATGCTGGTGAGATTGACCATTTTTATGCCCACTTCAATGTACCATTTATGAGCTTCTAGCTTTTGCTGAATCTGGGGCTATCTTGGGCCCTAGGACTCTGAGGGGTGAGGCTCAGTCTAAGATTCCCCTGTGATTGTTTCTCCTTCTAACATCTCTCAAACTTGTATCTTGAATACCTTCTTACAGCAACTGAACTAAGCATCTTGGAGAAATCCCAGCAAATAATCACCAGAACTCTCAGCTCTGAAAACAGGGATCTCAGACAAAGCAACCTTTGCTTTCCCACCCCCACTCCACCTTTGGCCATGGAGACAGTTATACGGGGGCCTGGGGAAAGGATTAGGGAAGAGAGGCAACCTATTGTCCGTGCTGACCATGAGTTCACAACAGTCAATGAGATACCAGAATATCTATAGCTTCACTGTGTTTTAGAACAATTACTAACATAAGGAGGAAGTGAATCCAAGGGAAAATTTGTAAATACCCATGAGACCAAGAAGTCCCATTTTCTAGAAAGGGCAACCCTCCTACACTGTTGGTGGGAATGCAAGCTGGTGCAGCCACTCTGGAAAACAGCATGGAGGTTCCTCAAAAAGTTGAAAATAGAGCTACCGTATGATCCAGTAATTGCACTTCTGGGTATTTACCCCAAGGATACAAATGTAGGGATCCGAAGGGGTACGTGCACCCCGATGTTCATAGCAGCAATGTCCACAATAGCCAAACTGTGGAAAGAGCCAAGATGTCCATCAACAGATGAATGGATAAAGAAGATGTGGTATATATATACAATGGAATATTATGCAGCCATCAAAAGGAATGAGATCTTGCCATTTGCAACGACGTGAATGGAACTGGAGGGTGTTATGCTGAGTGAAATAAGTCAATCAGAGAAAGAATGTATCATATGACCTCACAGATATGAGGAATTCTTAATCTCAGGAAACAAACTAAGGGTTGCTGGAGTGGGGGGTGGGATGGGAGGGATGGGGTGACTGGGTGATGGACACTGGGGAGGGTATGTGCTCTGGTAAGCACTGTGAATTGTGCAAGACTGATGAATCTCAGATCTGTACCTCTGAAACAAATAATGCAATATATGTTAAGAAAAAAAAAAAAGAAGAAGAAGATAGCAGGAGGGGAAGAATGAAGGGGGGGGAACTGGAGGGGGAGACGAACCATGAGAGACGATGGACTCTGAAAAACAAACAGGGTTCTAGAGGGGAAGGGGGTGGGAGGATGGGTTAGCCTGGTGATGGGTATTAGAGAGGGCACGTTCTGCATGGAGCACTGGGTGTTATGCACAAACAATGAATCATGGAACACTACATCTAAAACTAATGATGTAATATATGGTGATTAACATAACGATAAAAAAATTAAAAAAAAAAAAAAAGAAGTCCCATTTTCTCCAAAAGATGTTTTTGGACCACAAAGCAGAGAGAATTATTGGAGCTTTATTTTTCTTCTTTAATATAGATATCTGGTATGAATCTCCTTAACACTCTCTAGTTGTGTTTTGTTTTGTTTTGTTTTGTTTTGTTTTGTTTCCAAATCACTTCAGAGAGGTAAGAAATGACCAGATTCCCAGTGAATAGCCTTGTCACTTGGCTTCACGTAAACAGGCCTGGTGAGTGGAGAAGAGATTTTTCCTGCAATAACAGGAGAGGAAAAGTCCCCGCAGGAGGCTCCTTGGTGTTGCTCTGGACACTTCCCCCTGCCTTTAAGGGAAGACAGAAGATCCATGAGACCTTGAGACCATGGTCTTGCCACCACCTTCACTAACATCATCTTGCTTCACAGCGTCCTAGACATGGCATCATACACATCAGACCAGAGAGCAAGCGACTTACTCCTTTGTTGGGTCTAAGGCCAAATGACCCAGAGTGAAGAGTTAGGAGATATTTAACATGGACAGGAAGTCCAGACTTGATCAGCTTGAGATACAACTTCTGAGAGGTTTTCTAGGTTCTGGTGTATCACAATTTACCTCCACCTCCCCTTTATCCCCACCCAAGCTTGCAAGGGCTCTGCAGAGAGCATGAACCTGGATCTTTAGGCCCCTGTGAACTAGCTGTGTGACTGGAGAAAGTCACTTGCTGGTGTCTGAGATTCCATTTCTTTGTAAAAAGAGGGGTTTGGACTAGACAGCCTCTAAGCTTCCTCGAGCCCAGACATCCTGTCCTTGGTGACTTGAAAGCCTACTTCCCATGCAGTGACTACACAGGCTCAGAGGCTCAGAATACACCCCCAAGAAGTTCTGGGGTGAATTCTCCCTTCATCCTCCACACATTGTCTTCACTGTGCTCTTCCATGGATCTGAATCTCAGAGTTGTCTGAGAATTCGTCTACCATTCATTTCTTCCCATTTTCTTCCTTCCCATACATCGCTTCTTTCATAAGGAATGTGGAACAGAATCAGGGCTTAAATATTTTGTGGTGCTCTGAAATACTGCATTTAAAAAGATATGTTTTTATTTTTATATACATAAAATACTTTGTCTATGCCAGAGAGGGAGTAAGTACATTATACCAGTGATTAAAATGGAGATAATCCACCCCTGTTTCACTCTTAGGGCCTCTTCTGCTACCTCCAATCTCTTACTACCTTGGTCTAGGCCAGTTCACAGAGCAAGTTTTCTTTCCCACAGTTGCTGTTCCAAAATGGCTGCCACAAATCATCATGAATTCCCAACATTAGAGAATGGTTTTTTGAAAATCAACTCAATTAACTCCCTACTGGTGGCCAGGGAAAGACAAATTCCTTTGGTCACCTCAAGCATGCAAACTCAGACAAAAGATCCACCTTGTCAGTATGTTGGGGAATTGAGCGCTTGAAGAAAAGTTCTGCTCTTTTTCTCTTCTCGTGAAATGGGACGTGGGACAACAAGATCATCTACTTGACCCCAGAGATGGGAGATTTACATTGAGAATGGCAGAGGCACCGGCCAGCCTGGGCCCCTAGATAACCTCGAAGAGTGGTCCGTCCCATCGTCCTGCCTTTAGTCGTCTGCCCAGCTCTGGACAGTTACTCACCAAGCTCAAGTCCCCATCTGGTGCTCCATCAATCTCCATAGCATTCCCACCCCCAAACCTTTTACCCACAACTGTGCCCAGGGTCACTATCAAGTTAGCTTGTACACATCACTTGTAGCATCCACACTCTTTCCCTTCCTGAAAAGTGGAATGACATACCCTCAAATTTAGCCTTCCCCGTGTTTGAAATTTTAAAAATATCACTGAGAGTGGTCAGCAATCTCACTGCAAGGTAACTGAATGGAAATCCAGGGCTGCAATGCAACTGAAAATTGCTCGCCGAAAAAATTCTGAAGATAAAGGAATGACTTCTTGTGGATTCTGAGAAAAGTTACAATTTTTTATTTTTTTTCACCAGTTTCCAAGAGGATAATACTGTACTACTACCAACTAAATGGAGCCACAGGAAATATACTTCAATTAATAGGTTGAATTTTCTTAAAAATTGAAAGATAGGAGCCACTGGCCTTCAGCCCTCACTAGAATACGTCAAGGCTAAAAATCTGGGTTCTCCGCTTGCCAAGTGCTGTTCTAGAAGTGGGATCCTAAAACACTACAGATTAGGACCCTCAGAAAACAGATTCTGAAACAGATTGAAATGTGACCGGGTTCTTAGTGAGCGCCCTCAGCACCAACACCTGTGTGAGAGTGAAGGCGGCGGACCCCCGCAGAGGGAGAAGCTGAAATGCAATGTAGTCACAGCAAAAGCCAAACCATTTCACAGACAAGAGACCTGGAGCTGGGACAGCCCTTTGTAATCACCTTAGATCGAAGTCTGGGGACCGGTCTTTACACCCTGAAGTAGACAAGTCTTTGGAGGCAGGGTGCCCTGGGAAGATGTGTGACTCTGGAGAAAGTAGCTCTTCAGCAAGAACAATTTCCAAAGAGCCACTCAACTGACCGCTGTTGGCCCAGTGCCCTCCCAGCAGCTTGGGGGAATGAATGTGTGGGTCCTGAAGGTGTGCCATCTGAGTAGGGTAGCACGGCACCCACTGAGTATAACTGCACTAGAAGAGAGTGAAGCCCCGGCCATCAGACCTCTACTTAACAGCTTTTTATCTGGATTAAGCAGAACCACTAAGCCCAAAATTTTTTTATAATTTCAACTATTCTCACAGCAATGCGCTGGTACTATCATTTCTAGAAATATGGACATGGAGGCAAAGGTATCTTTGGTCTCCAGGTCACCTTCACACACTAAAGTTCTTTGCAAAGTCAGACATGTTAACTGGACTCAGAGATTTTGTTAATTTCCACTGCCTTGTCCCATCCCCCGCAACTAGCAGACCTCAGGACACTCTCACAAGTGATATCTTGCCTGTGCAGGGTCACTCCATGGTGTCAGCTTGATTGCGGGGACCCTAAGAGCTGTGTCTGGAACTCAGGTTATATATGCTCATTCCTTGGTGTAGAAGGCCAGAGTGGAGCGGAAGGATGAGGGAGAAAGGACCCACCAGAGCGCACATGTTCACCTTCTGTGATGCTCAGATAGGAATGCTGTTTTTAAGTCAGTTTTTAAGTTGGGAGTATCTCAGAAGAAACTTCTGAAGATTAACCTCTGCAGGCTTAGGAGTTTACCAGAAAATTTTTTATTTAAGTCAAGCTTCAGACTTCTGCTCATTAATAAGTGTTTTCAGAAGTTGTAGTTAAAGTACTTACATTCTTAACAACCTATCAAAGAGTTTAGGTCTACCCTGCAAAAGAATTATGCTTTGCTTGGCTCCTTCCAGCTTCTGTGCTTTTCACTCCCAGGTTGGAAACATGGAAGGTATTGAACTTTTCATCATGTTCCCCTTTACATCTGGTGTTTTCTCACCTAGC